TATATATATATCAGCAATTGTGTAATATTTCGATGATCATGATATTACAAATTAATTTATTATAATTGTTATTTTATAATAAACTATACAGGATATTCCATTTTAATCTATCATCCCTTTTATTTCCGCAGGATAAGATCGAATTAAAAATATGTTTAGACAAAAGTTGTAGGGTTCAAAGAGGGTAGACGATCTTATTAGATTTTGGATCTGGGGTCCGTGTTGGGCCTAAGCCAATTTTTTTAAATGGGGATCCCCATTTTTTATTGCATATTCATGTAGCTTATCTCGAGAGCTTTTCAAAACGCTATAATAAATTATTTTTTCATTTAAATTATTTTTCAAGTTATTTTATATCTTAATCTGATATATTTTCATATAAAATAACTCGAAAAATACTTAATAAAAAAACACTTTATTATAGTATTTTGGAAAGCTCTCGAGATAAGCTATATGAATATACAATAAAGAATTGGGATTCTCATTATAAAAAATTGACTTGGGTCCTACTGGGCCCAACATGGACCCCCGATCCAAAATCTAATAAGATTGTCTATTGGCCCCTTTTGAATCCTACAACTTTTGTCTGAATATATTTTTAATTCGACTTTACCCTGGAAATAAAAGGGGTGATAGATTAAAATGGGACACTCTGTATATGCAGCTATTCACACATAATATATATAGTCGTAAATTTAATTTTTTTAGCGATCCTAAAAATGCTACGATGGTGTGAATTGCGTGCTAGAAAAATACCAAGAAGGCTTTTTCTGAATCAGAAATCGATAATCGTCGTTGAAGGTGTATCAGAAGTGCATTTATCGATCAGTGTAGCGTGCATGGCACCCGAGCAACGAACATTTTGGTTGATCTTTCAAGCAAAGACTGGTGACTTCATTATACAAGTAAGTGCTCAATAAATATGACTAATTGTAAATTGCGTTTTGTGATAAAAATTTGAAAGTAAGTCGTCTGTAATGCCCGGTTTCTTCACACCTCCCAATAGCTATCTTCCAGATAAAGATATCTGTCGGATAACTAAAAATCCGTTTTCTTCACTGAAACCTCAGGTTACGTATCTAACGGATAGTTATTCTTCATAAGATATCGGCTATTTCGGGTTCAGAATAACTTTATCTGCCAGATACAGACTTTACAGAGGTGAAGAAAACCGATTCTGCGAGATATCTGCTGGATAAATTTATCGAGAACTTATCTAGAAGTGAAGAAACCGGGCATAAGTAACGCAAAATATATTACGTGCTATTATAAATTAAATATATGTATAATTGGTATCTCACAATCAAAATTAAAAATTCGATTAATATGATGCCTTTTATAAAGTTATCCACAAATCATTAATTATCACAGATAAATTCAATTTGGCAAACATCAATTAATGATCATATCGTTGTCGAATGGACGAGTCAAGGAGAATGTATTTGCTCAGATCATCAAAATCGCATAAAAAATATTTGTCCGTTTAATATTAACATACTTATACCATCGCGAAACGTTCAACTCTGGAAATGTGTTGCTGAAATGTTTCAAAAAACTCTTGAAACCAAAGAACGTCAATTCTGGTCTAAATACTCAGGTATGCCATACTAAATATATTTGCAGAATCACATAATACGTTAACATTTAAAGATCTTAAAACACATACATATTATTTGTGACGGATCTTCTGAATTTATATATATATTTATTTCCAGACCACATATGTTCCTAAAATATATCTAAAAAAAATGACTTAAAGACAAATCGTTGTCCTTTAGACATCTTTAAGATGTCTTTTGACCTTTTTGCTATCTAGATTATGTCAAGCAATTGTCGCATGTTATCATGATCTTAATTTCTAGTTTTTCTTTCTTTGATTTCAGGTACATATGTCGAACTACGTTTAATACGATGGTTGATGGGAAATGACATCGATTCCGCGGCTTTGGAATTTATCCATATCTTTAATACCGCAGTCACATATAAAGTCACAATTTCAGACAAATCGAGTCCTCTTGTTATGCCAGAATTTTTCACTATACAAGGTAAGATTTAAAATATTTTAGGGTTGTTTTTTACATTGTGTACAAGGTTATACATCTAAAAAGATATAATTATATTAGTTATGTGTTTTTAAGCATACGGAAATCAAGCGATATGGTAGTATCGCGATGTCAAGTGCATAAAAAATGAGAGCCACATAATCAAGGCGTTATCAGTAGCTTATTCAAAATTTGATGTCAAACGAATTTTTGATTAAAATATTTGTTTAATCTATACTTCTTGATTATATTAAGTATATCATTAAAGCTATTATTATCAAAAATTTAACGAGACACACTTTTCTTACATAATACGCCCCATATATAATTTTATATATTTATATATAATTAATATATATGTATACATATATATCTGATTACATACGGGCAAGTTTATCTCGGCAATACATCTCATTATCTAATCGCAAATTTCATTTTTTCTAAAAAATACAATACGGAAACAATAATTCTATTATTTTTTCTGTAATCTGTAAATGATAATGGCATGCGCATAGTGTTTGCTTTCGTAATTATAATTACATTCTATGTATAATTATAATAGACAAATTTTTCTTATATTGTTTTTATATTATCTTAAATAACTAAATTCCGCTAATAATTATATAATTCCCAAAATTAAAAAAAAAAGAACTTATAAACGAGATTGAATTATTCCACAAGTGTATCCAGAAAAAAATATATTTGTGTTTTATCTGCATCAGAAAATATTTAGAGAATTCTAAAGTGTAATATATACCATGTAATAAATAAAAAAAAATTTAAGAATGCCTTTCTAAAATATACATTTATATATATGTATAAATTTATAGATGTAAGACCGTCCTATCAGCAAGTTCCGATGAGCATACATGTCTTACCATCAACTCCTCCATTGTATAAAACTACTATTACTCTTACATCTCTGGATGGCAAAGAATTTCGAGTATATATCATCGATTGCTTACGATCATAAAGGCAAGTCATCGTTAATATATAATTGCATATGGATTTAATATAAAAACAAATAGGAAAACGAGCTAATGAAAGTCAAGGCGCAGAAAACAGAAGTTATTTTCAAAAAATTAATTATCCAGATATATAGAAAATTTGTAAGGTAACTGCTAAGGTCCTGTATTCTGCATCTTGGCTCTAATTAACTCATTAATCCGCTTTATGTTGTTTATTAGAGTATTTTCCGCGATTTGTATATGAATTAATGTAAGAATAATTTAATCAACTGTAATTTTGAATTCACTTTTCGCTTTGATGTAGGCAGTTTAGAATTGTGTCTATAAGGAAAGGATAAGAAAAATGTGGATTAATGAGCATACATATTAAACATTATAATCATATTAATGTAGATGATTTTTAATATATCTATTTTAAGTTGATGATAATCATACATATATATATTCAAAGTTTAATTAAAAAGTAATGTTGATAAAAACTCTGTTTATATAAAATAAGGAGTTCTAATGGCAAATAAGAACTAAAATGCAGAATAAGTTACAATCTTTATTAAATTCCATGATTAGTACGGTAGTGATTGTCTGATAAGTCACCTCCCATTAATGGTAACCACTGGGAGATGACTTACCAGACAATCACTACTAGACGAATGTATTAGTTAATGGCTAACTGCATTATTATACGCTACCACTTTTTTATTCTATAGTCAAATTATGATATAGGCATTTACTTTCATATTTTTTTGGTGAATACATTTGCTTTTCGCTGAAGAGAATCGATCAAAACATTCGAACCTTATATTAAAAATAATTTGTATATTATTATATATGTATATATATTGTGTATGTGTGTATATACATATATATATATATAAATTTTGCGCCTATTAATGGCGCTTGCCATTATAACTCCTTATTTTGTATTTTGTACATAAAGCTTTTTTTTGTTTCAAGTCGAATTATTAAAAAAAAGAAAAAAAAACAGAATTCACATATGGCATATAAAACTGTTTAATTAATCAAAGGATAAATTTATATGTGTGTGTGCATTATTTATGAATTATATATATATACATATGATATAAATATATATAAAATGCTTTGATTAATTAAATGCGATTTTATACCATTTAAAAATTAATTAAGAACAGATTTTTTCCATAAAAATAAAGCGATTTAATGAAGTTCTCTTCATTTAAAAAAGAATTTGAAAAACTTTTCGAAATAAACAGGGTTTTTGTTGACTATTACTTTTTAAATAAATTTATATATGTATGTATAATTATTATTTTGTTTCTCAATTAAATAGATATATATTAAAAATCATATATATTATATATAATTGTAATGTTTATATAATTATAACCATTGCTCATCAGTTCACATTTTTTATCCTTTCTTTATAAACACACTTTATTTTCATTTTAAAAAATCTGTTTTTAATCAATATGTTAAAATAATTGAATTTTCCAAGTATATAAACTTACATTTTATAACATAAGAGAGAGTTTTGTCGCCGAATATATTAAGAGCTTGGATGTGTGCAATTTAATCCATTGTCCAGTTTTCTATTTGTTATCATTCATCTCAATAAAAAAATCATGTCATAATCAGATAAATGACAAACTTCTGATATGCACAGTGATATTTCTTGATTAAATTAAAATATTTCTTTGAATTAAAAAAAGGAGATGACAAAAATAAACATTAAATATATGTATATATATGGCGACGCAATATCCCATACGTAAAATGATCACAAATTACATAATTGTGAAACAAGCAATAAATAATGTTTTAATATAAAAGTTAAAGAATTTATAAAAAAAAATGTTCTAGCTGTGAATTTTTTATTTTTATAAGGATATTAGCATTGTTGCAAACTCAAATTAAATCTGCGTTGAAATAAATCTATTCCTCATTTCTCGATCATATTTTTGACTAAAAGATATTGTTTATCAAGGCAAATATTACCTTTCATCATATCATTATATTTGCTAGGAACATGCGGATACTAGTAAAGTTCAAGATGAGTCAAGTTCGATTATTCTCATCAAGCTCAGATACTCGCTAAGTTCGACTTTATATATTTTCAATTAACCGGATCTTATTTATAACCTGAACATAATCACAGAAAAATCAATAAAATTAATTGTTGCTTTCGGAAAATTGGATAAGATTCGGTTAAGCTGAGGTAACAAATATTCCATGCACTTACAATATAAAAGATCCGAACCAAATCTTTCGATCGGCTCGAAAATTTTAGGTACTTGCATAGTCCTAATACATGCTATTTCTTGGTAAAGGAAGAGCAGCAAAATGCACATTTCACATTGTCTTATGTGTGCATCTATATAAATAAAAATGCCTCTTTTCCTACGATATATTCCAATAATAACATTTATATACTATCATTTAAGTTATATTTATAACTATTAGACAGTACATATGTCAAACCTTTCTTTTGCGCAATTTAGCTTTTGCTTCTTCCAAAAGAAAATCGAAAGTATCTTCTTCAACTGCCTGAGACGATTTGCTAATGGGTGAGCTACTCGCTGTATCATCTATAAAAAAAGATATATTCACTATAATTTCTAAGTTGAACATGATAAAACATATTTGTGTAAATGTATATGTATGTATGTATGCATGTATGCATGCGTGTATGTGTGTGTATGTGTGTATGTGTGTATGTGTGTGTGTGCGTGCGTGCGTGCGTGTGTATATATATATGCATTTTTTTCTTACCAAGATCTGAATATTTGTATTTGCAAAATGCTCTTCGGCCACCAAAGCTTAAATCATATGTAGGTAGAGATGGATCATCATTACCGTGCTCCATAGCCGTATATGCATCGTTTTTGGATGCAAAAGTGACAAAACCGTAATTATCGCTGAAATAAATATATATGTAATATATAATCTATAATAATATATAATACACTCAAGATATTATTTTAGAAAGATATAAAGCGATTAATAAATACATACCCATGCTCACGGAAATGTACACTGATATCAACAACAGGCCCATAAATCTCAAATCTCCTGCGCAAATCAGCTTTGGTAACATTTTCATCTAGACGTCCTACATATATTACTCTTCGTTCTTCCACTTGCCTCTGCTTTTCTCTGTTGTACCAATTGTAGGATTTACAGTAAGAACGTACAGGCGATCTAATAACAAATTATAAGAGTTTGTAGTTAAAGACAAAAAATATCTTTGATCATTTCCTTGTCTATTCAAGTTTGCATTGCTATAATAATATTTTGTTTTGAGCTTTACATGATTATCCATTAGTAGTGTCCATATTAATTATATTCACTGAATCATACATAATCGAAACAATTACTAGCTAGATAAAATCTTCAAGAATGCATATATGCTGACATTCCACATTTTCAGTAACCTAGCTCTGAGGAAGATACTAAGGGAGAAATTAAAAAACTTATTTTTTAAAAACAAATTTGCATTTTTAATTTTTTAAATCAAAATAGTTTTGAAATAGTTTAAAAATAAACTTTTTAATTAGTAACGTTCCTAATCGAATATGACTTATATGATGAACTGTGATGTAAAAAATATGCTAACTAAACTAATATTCTAAATCTATTATTATAAATCTTACAATTCTAAATCTTTGTTTCTAAATCTATTTATCTCGAAAAACATTTTACCTCCAATCTTTGTAGTTATGACGGCTACCGAAGGAATGTCTTTTATATCTATCATAACTTCTTTCGCGATCACTGCTGCCTTTCCTCCGATAATTAGACCATCTACTTCTTCCATAATTCGAGTAGGAGGAAGACCTATCAACAAGAGTGAGAGAGAACTTTGAGAATTTTAAATGTCATTACTCAAATCTATCTGACCTATTCGCGAGCTAAATTTATTTGCATTTAGTTTTGTATATTAGTTTGGTATATCATATAACTTTGTTTGACACATGTGACACGTGTGATAACTCCAGAAAACATTTAATTACACAAATTTCCCCTACTTTAACTTTAATAAGAGATTTTTTGCGCAATTTGATAATCGGAGTTTTTCTTTAATCGATTGTAAAAACAAAAATAATATAAAAGTATAAGTAAAAAAAGAATTCTTCGCAAATTAAACTTTAAAAAGACAAGTAACTGACAAATTAAATTTTTCAACTAATTATTTCAAACGAAAGTTTTGTTTTAACAAAACTAAAGTTTCTCATTATTTTCACTTTCAAGACAATATTAACGAATTAAATTCGTTAGAGTATCTGTCATCACAATTAAAAACGCAAGTGGGAAGTTGTGTAGAATGATCGGAAATATATAGTGCAGTTTTTAGAAATAATCATTCTATAGTCAACTAGATAAATTATCCTGCAACATATTATGTACTTCTTTTCACTTTACCTTGAACAGCTAGAATATCGCGAGAAAGATCTGGATCTGGATCGTGATGATCTGGAACGCGAACGAGAGTATCTTGATCTAGTGGATGTCGTATATGAGCGTGACTGAGACGACCAACTGCTGGTCGAGCTAACAGAACTGCGTCGACGGGATCGGATTCTTCGTCGGCGGCTGCATCTGCGAGATCTACTCCTGCTTCTGCTTCTGCTGTCATTTTTCATACTTTTGCTTCTACTACGACTCCTATTTCTACTTCTGCTCTTGCTTCGGCTCCTATTTCTATTTCTACTCGTACTTCTGCTTCTACTCCTGCTTCTATTCCGGCTTTCGCTTCTACTCCTGTTTCTATTTCTGTTGCTGCTTCTATTCCTGCTTCTACTTCTGCTTCTACTCGTACTTCTGCTTCTGCTTCTCCTCCTACTTCTGCTTCTACTCCTGCTTTTGCTTATCTTTTTGCTTTTACTTTTCGATCTAGATCGACTTGAGTTTCTATAGAGTCTATCCTTTTTGTAGCATCTTTGTTTTATGTCCTTTATATTTTGCTCCCTATAATGTGATATTACACAGATTATAATAAACAGAATAAGAAACTTTGTAAATTGTTACAATGATATTTTAGAAGACGACAGAAGAGAAAAAGAAATATACACATATTAAAATTAATCAGGGTAATTATTCAGAATCACGGCTCCACCTGCAAATGGGCTGCAAATTTTTTTACGGACTTTTGATGTTTAGAAAGAAATATAAATAACCATTTTTAGTTATACATAATTACCTAATTTTCGGTAATTTTGGGGGTTGGGGGTGATGGGGAACGGGCTCCCCCGACTAATTATCACTGTTGGAGTCACAACAAAAAGTTTTACCGAGAGATCCGATCATATTTGTCAAAATTCAGAAAAGACCTTATTCGAAATAATTATCCTTTTTTGGTCTATAACTTTTTTTTGGGCCTCCCCAACTAAAAATGGTTATTTATATTTCTTTCTAAACATAAAAAGTCCGTAAAAAAATTTGCAGCCCAGTTGCAGGTGGAGCCGTGATTCTGAATAATTACCNNNAACAAAAAGTTTTACCGAGAGATCCGATCATATTTGTCAAAATTCAGAAAAGACCTTATTCGAAATAATTATCCTTTTTTGGTCTATAACTTTTTTTTGGGGCCTCCCCCAACTAAAAATGGTTATTTATATTTCTTTCTAAACATAAAAAGCCCGTAAAAAAATTTGCAACCCATTTGCAGGTGGAGCCGTGATTCTGAATAATTACCTTAATCAATTTTCAAGAAGTCTTTTTCAAATGCAATTATTGTTGCATATATTATCATCTAATGCAAAATCTTTTTCATAGTGTAATTAAGACTATTAATCTTTAATTAGATTTTTAATCTAAGCTTTAATTTAATACTTCATAGCTAAGATACTTTAAACATTCCTCATTATAAATTCTAATAAATTTCTCTAATAATAATAATAATAATAAAATGATAAACGTATTAATAACACAGTTAAACACAAAGTAACTTTTTTTATACATAAGCACAAGACTAGTCACTTCCTGTAGCTGATTATGATTCTAGTTTCCAAATTGCTCCATCATGATACAAATTTAAAAAAATGTGTAGTTAAAGTTGCAAGAAAGTGTGCTATATTAATTAATTTTGTCGTACTTCTTATATTTGCAACTTTAATTATAAATTTCTCAAAATTGTATCGTGATGAAACAATTTGAAAGCTGGAATTATACTCACCATCAAAAAAGTTACGAGAGGTGACTAATCTTATTTTTATTCTCATTTTTTTATTAAGCTATGTAATAGCTAATTTATAATTTTGATGCATTACCTTTTATCATTTCTCTCTATGGTATCCATCAACGATTTTTTAGAAAATTCAAATACCGTTTCATATGTCTGTATTCCTATATCGCACATAAGTGGTTTTGATTTGTTTTTCTCTTCATCTATATCTGACTTGGGTTTCAGCATTGAAACAATTTCCCTCTCGGACCAAATTGGGTTCTCAGAATCATTTTTTATTGGTTCTGTCGTAGTGGAAGCATGATGAACATACAACAATATCATTGGCTGTACTGGAGAATTTGTTCTACTATTGTCACTACGATTTTGATCCCTTCTATTTCGATACTCTGCCAAATTCAATTTTTTACGAAATGGCGGTTTTTTCGCTTGTTCGTCTGAAGCTGAATTTTGAGTATCTTGTACAATTATGTTCTGCACCTCATTATTTAAATTGTTCGTAGTAGTCACTATATCTTCATCAGAGTTACTCTTTAAGAACAGTGTTTGTGATGCGTTTGGTGGTTTTTTCAATACAGAAACCATCTGCATTGTAGAACTTATTTGCGAAGTATTCTTAGACAAATCATTTCTCAATCGTAAAATGTTTTGAGCCAAAGCTGAGCGAATTAAATATACAGGAGAATCTTTATCAGAAGATTTGCTTGGAACTTTCACACTCTTAGGTAATTTAATAGTCAATGAATCGTTTAAGGCATGAGTTTTTAAACAAATCTTCTTTTGACAATCCTTGTAATCACTTTTAAGTCTATTTTCATTAATTTTATCCGTTTCTTTATCCATTAAAGTAAAACCAGCTAGTTTTTTTGTATCACATATATCAGCCAATTCCAGATTGTTGTCTTTCTTTAAATTGCTATCATTACGACATTCTGCAATTTTGCCACTACATTTTATTATTTTTTTATTCTGGTTTGATCTTAATACAGATGTATGTTTCGTAAATTCTGCATCAAAAGATGGACAAGTTTATTGTATGTGTATTTCATTACAACAGTTTCTTCATTATTACTATCGCCTATTGTACTTACTATTGCTATCACAGCTCTTAGTAGCAGAACCAACATTATAACAATAATCATGATCCAATTGTACTAAAGTACCATCTGTCGTTCTATTCTTAGCTTTGTTTGTTACCTAAAAGAGTGTTATGATAAATGGATTATCCATTAAAAATTTGCAACAAACAATTACTATCCAAACTATATGTATTTTACATACAAATGCATATGGTACCATAGTAATGATATTTTTTTTAGAACTTACTTGTTTTACAACTTTATTATTGGAAAATGTGGCTCCAACATCTTGCATTCGTGTATTATTATTACTACGATTTTTATTCTGCATATTTGGCATAGCAGGTATTATCGAAATAGCTTTTTTACGTCCTGAGGCCTAAAATTGAACAAAACAATAAGAATGAATTTGTATCAACTTGTTTGCATATCATCATAATAGACTATTTACTGAAGTAATAACCTTTATCCTATCGATTACTTCTTTTGACACTGAATCTGGCGTATTCTTATGTTTATTATAAACTTGTGAAGAAGGCTTTTCTACAGCTTTTAACAGTTGACTTCGATATTTCTGAGTCATCTGTTGCACCGTGTTCGACCTCGTGCCAGATAGGAAATTATTTTTGGTGGCCAACTTATTACATGGATTTGGATTTTCAGAAGCTTCAAATTGTTCTAACAAACTCTTTATATCAACAGCTTCCAATACTAGTAGAAAATAATTCTTAGCAGACTATTCATTTTCAGCACAAAGTTTTATGTATCTGTATCAATCAATTACCTGGTATTTCATCTGATATAGTTTCAACATCTATACAATCCTCTTGCTCCTCTTGTTTATCTTTTGTAATTACACTTTTTTCCTTTTTTCTTTTTCCTTTTAAGTTTCGATTTTTCTTTGTAGCATTTGCACCTTTTTTTTTAAACTCATTTGCTTCTTGAAATAATTCAGGTAAAATGCTTAAATCATTAACTTTATCTTCCTTTGTTTCTTTTGTAGTTTCAGTCTTTATATTAATTTCCATTGTATCATCTATCATTTTATGGGTATTTTCTTCCTCAAAATTGGCTACAAAAAAAGAAATACATCTTGCATCAAAATGAACAAGACGATAAGAAGAGAAATACGTAACAATTACTGATAACAAACCTGTTCTTTGTTCGTCTTCTTTTAAATTTACTTCAGGCCCTAGATTTATCTCTTCTTGCAAGAAATTTGCAGTCTCTTCTTCATGCATGTTATTCCATAATGTATGTTTTGTATCAAATAAATTCATGTTTATAATATCATTAAAATCTTCTAACTCCATCGTCTAAAAATTAGAAGAAAGTATTCTTATTACATAATTAAAACAATATAATTTCAAAATACAGATTAATTAAAAGAAAAAAATTATAACCTGTGCATAATTCTGCCACTCCGTGAAAAGCTTTGAAAAATTCTCACCCTCCTGTGAAGCTGCAACTTTTGTGGCAAATGATGCATCTGTATCTGCACTATATTTAAACAAATAATTAAATATATTTATATTATATATCCACAGTATAAAATATGTACACATTAATTGAGTGATTTATTTTAAATAAAATAGCCAATTATCTCAAACAGAGAGACATTTTTCTTAAAAATGTTTTAAATAAAAATTACTTTGTTTCGAAGATAATATATGTAGTTTTAATAACTTTTATGATATCTTATTTTCTGCTAAAATTACAAGGTTACCTTGAGTCTTTTAAATAGAATTATATGACATTTTAACATATCAATTCTTCTCCTCATTTTGCACATAAAAGTATTAAAATCCAATTATTAATAAATCACTAGTTTATAAGATATTTCATAATTTATTTTGATAACCAATTCTATTGATTGTTCCGTGAAAAAATCTGCGAATATTTTAGAGTTATCAACAAAGTAAGTACACTTTTTATAAAATATTATATATTTTACATGTTACAAAATATATCAGAACAAATTATAAAATATCTTTTAAATTATTACTTAATAGTTAATATTATTACATTAATACTTTTATGTGCAAAATGACTATAAAATTATATATAATGAAAATCATATAGTTCTATTTAAAAAAGTTGTTTGATTTTGAGGAAAATATGTCTTATTTTACGTAAAGCATTTTTTTTTAATGTGTCGTTTTTTAAACAATTAATTGCAAAATGAATCGCCGCAATTGTATAACATTTTTAAGTAAGAATAATGCACTTACTTCCGTTCATTGTCGTTCCAGATGGAGTTGAAAGTAATGGGCTGAGATGTGTCCACATCATAATCATTTTCAATAATATTCAATAATGAATCTTGAGGCATTTCCATTGAATCCTGTAAATTAATTTTTTTATGGTGTAAAAAAGAGAATTTACTTTGTTCGTAATATTTTCAATATATTTTCAAAACATACATCAGCCTTATTACTTATTACTCAATTTGTCTCTCAATTTAACTATTTTCATATTTTGAATGTAAAAACTCTAAGATTTTTTAGTTTTATTTTATTATTATTATACTTGTTTAATAAATAAATCTGTGTTGGAAATGGTTTTAATTGAAAACTTTGATTATATAATATTTATTATATTTTTCTTAACTATAATCATTGGTTGCGCATTCAGTAAAGGAAATAAACTTACAATTATTAACTCTTATCCGTATTTATATGCATATATAAATAACTATGCATAAAGCATATGAATAAAGAAATAGTGTATGTTTATATGTCTGATGCTAGAAATGTAATAATTAACATTTTATATAGATAGACAAACATAGATAAATATTTATGAAATTTTCTGATGAATACATGCAACATATCTTTTTAATTGTATTTTTGAACACACGTTTAGAAAAACATAATTTTTGCAACATAACATAATGTTATATATCAAGTTATCCCATAAATCTTTTTTTTATGTTGTATGTAATTGAAACATTCATCACTTAATGTAAAAATCTTAATTAAGTTTTTTTTTCAAATAAACGATTAAACAATTTATCAAATAAAATATTTTGTAAATAATAATAAAAATTATATAATTAATTTAAAACAGAGAAATTTGTATATATTTCTTTATAAATATATATACATATTATGTTATATTATATTATTATGTTATATATTATTTCTTTATATATTTATATATTTATTTTTACAATTTTTTTATTAATTACTTCTTTATATATTTATTTTTACAATAGCTTTAGTCTCAATTGCATCAGGAAAGTATCTTTATTATGGCTCCACGTGTATTATAAACAGAGATAGGTTGATATATTCTACGACAAAAAATATTTGTCGAACGCATCAGTTCGCTAGCAGATAGAGAATTCTTAGAATCTCGATAGAGCCTCTAGAAATTCTCTGTCCGATAGCCAATCGCTACATCTGATAAATTCGTCGTGCAACAAATGTAATATCAGCCTTAGGGTAATATTACATTTGTCGTACGATAAAATTTTTAAGCGCATTGATTAATTAATTTCTAGAGACTCAAGAAATTTTCTATTTTGCAGCCAATCAGTATGCTTAAAAAATTTGTCGTACGACAAATATAATATTATCCTTACCATGCAAAGTTCGACAGGGTAAATTTTTCTTTTAAGAAATGTCGACATCCTTGAACTGCACAATACGCTCGGCCCTTCCTCTTTTCTTACCTGCTATGAGCCTGTATTTTCTACCGTTTTTAGAAAGTTTCTAGAAAGTTTTTATAACTAACATATGAATAAACCTTTGAATGCATCTACGTGCCTTCTCGAGGGCGCGTTATATATTGTCTCCATGTATGACGCATCGTTTGGTGATTTATATATTGACACATGTTATGCTTTGAAAAATTCTTTATGAGAAAATATATCTTGCAGATTCTACAATTATATTAAAAATCAAATGTATAAATATTTAAGTAAAATACACAATTATACTGCATTTTAATGGATACAAAAATTTTACTATATTAAAACATAACAATATAAAAGAATTAAATTCTATAGAGTGTATAATTTATTTTTATTATCAATTGGCAAAATTTTTTGATATTCTCATTTTTATAGGAAAAGATTTAATCAATAAGTATATTTTAAAGTGTAATATTTTTTGTA